ACTATGTATTATTTATTATCCCTTGAAGAGCATAATTTTATTGATAAGCTTGTGTATCCGTTTATGTACACAGAAACCATGCAGTTGCTGTAACAATATTCAAGCAACTCTTTCCATTTCAAATAGGCATTTATGTATTTGCCCATGCCATCAACTCAAGAGGCTGGGCAATTATACAGCAGTACATAAAGCAGTCAGTAAATAAACCGTTAAGTACTTCGGCTGGCTTCTTATATTTAATTCCGTTATATGTCTAGATAATTTTAGATCTAATTACTAACAGTATAAATCTTTACTCAGAGCATATATCAAGTCTAGCAGTCAGGGAGAATTCCACACAAAGAAATTTGATACCCAGTTTTTCTCCTTTCATTTTCACAATCTGTTTTGAACATCCATTCAAAAGAACAGCAGGACGTGAACTCTTTAAGTCTCAGTTACCTGTTACCTATTGGGATAATTCAGGCTGCCAAGTTCCATCAAGACTGCAATACAAATAACAGTGCTGCTCCATGAAAAACTAGATGTACCTGTATTACCTTTACTCGTCTATGAAGCAGCTCTTATACACATGGCAGTTTGAAGGCAGCTGCATTTCATCAGTTAACACTGAAGAATGGGAGCCAAGAGTTATATTCCTAGAGCTGTTTGTTTGGCATTGAAAAACAACAACCACTCAACTTTCCTAAACGGCAGACCTAGGTGTATCCAGGACCTCTTGTATAGTTATCTAGCTGGGCTCATATATACAAGTCCTGCCATCTGTCCTGCCCATGCTTAGATTTAAAGTTCAGTAAAGAATGGAGTCTAGATTTTAAATTTCTAAATTGGTTTTGGAATTCTGCTCAGCTATAAAAACTTTATGCTGTCAAACTAAGCTATAGGTTTGATCACATGGGCATACAGCTCGGATTTTGGACCTCTTATTGCACAGTCTATTGCAAGCTACTTTCCAGCAAGTACACAACGTACTGGGAAGAGTGCTCCAGCCCCATCTTGATCCATGCCTAAACTGGATCTTTTTGGTCCAACAGTATAATTACTATTCTGGGAGGCTGGGCTGGAGCAATTCCTTGATGGGACGGAAGGGTTGCTTTTAAGGGAAATCACTCCCAGCAAAGGAACCCTTCCTAGTGCAATCAGACATGCACCTTTCTCATCAGTTGATCACATCCTCAGCCTTCACTTATTTACTCAGATTTAAGCCCTATTGATGTGTGCTTTAACTTGTGTGGAGCTCATACAGGGTGACATATGTTTGCTAGCCCTTCAGTTGTTGTCTCTAATAATGGAATCTTGACCTTCTGAAGAGGATGCTGCTGCGACCAACAGCTGTCTGATCACAGCAGCATCCTTTTCAGATGTCACAGAGCCAGGGCAGGCAACAACTGGGAAGAGAACGAAAACTGCTTGTGGGCCAGCTGATCCTGGAAACTGACTCAAGTTGTTTCAATTCCTCCCTTGCCACAAACAGAATAAGAGCATGCATCACCAAGATTTTTCCCAATCCATTCCCCCCCTGATCCTGACTTTTGGGCATGCTGATATTACACAAGTGCAAAAACACATGTAAATGCTTCCACACTGAGCCAGTATGCTCTGATGCCAGCTGGGAATGGTGTAGGGGTGTAGACTATCCAGTCTTTCAAGCCACTTCCAAAACAGAAAACAAACTTTCTGCTCTTTCAGCACTGCTTGCCCTGAGTTTTGTCTTCCGACCCAAAGCCCTGGAGAGGCACAGCAATTCCCTGAAACCTGAGCCATGTCCTGAGACCTGATAACACTGCCTACCAGCGATTATAGACAATATGGAGCTGTATGAACTAATGGTCTGAATAACTTCCTAAATAATATTTACCATATAGTTTGTTACCATAAAAGATTGGTGAGGTAGACCAAATTATATCCCTTTCTCCAAATGGAAATGTGTGGTGAAGGAGATGAGCTAAAAGTCAAAATTTTATACTTCTCATTTTGAGAGGAGAATCTGAAACAGAACAGAAGGAAATACTGGGGAGAGTTTATTTTTGCGGGAGTATCTCATCTTACTTTGATGAGAGAGAGAGAAGTTCGATTTTAATTCTATTCAAACTCCATTGTGAGGGACTTAACATCTGCAGGGATATGGAGGAGGTCACATCTGTAGAATGTGCTGCCCATAGAGAGCCAATGCTCCTGGAGTAAGAAAGGGCTTTATGACCCTGAGAGCAATTATGTGAGGTCGACTGTATGGCTGTAGCCAGCACCATCACCATTTTGTTCTGCACATTAGTTTGCAGAACTAATGCAGTGTAAACAGTTGTACTATTTGTCAAAGTGTCCATGCACAACTGGAGGAGGGACTGAAAGGGAGAAGTACTGTACGCAGATAGGAGGGAAGGGGAAAGGGGAAAAAGCCTCATATCGCTATATTTCTGTATCAATATCCCAACTTTGGTATTTTTTTTAAAGGACAAAGGGGGTCTGATTGCCCCAAGAAACAGTAGAGATGTAAGGAATCAATAGAAAATTAAAGAGCAGTGTATCCTGCTATAGTGATTCAAATAGAAAGAAATGAATTGATACAGTTAAAAACAATGTGAATGCTCCTGCTGGTGTGTATACAACATGACCGCAAAAATAAATGTACTGGTACAACAAGGTGTATGGAAATAATCAGTATACCTTGAGTTCTTTTGGCAGGTGTGCTTAGGCCCTCCCTCTGAATTCATTCCAGAAAAGGAGATATAGTTCCAATTTTCCTCCCAAATTATGTTTCTTTCATTTCCCATTCATTCCTAATCAAGTGTATTTGTTACATCTTGCCTAAGCCCATTTTGACAGAATATCCAATGTTTTCTATGCTCCCCAAAATTATGGTGTTACCAGTGTTCTCAAATCTATCACAATAGTAAAGGTAAAGGTTTCCCTTAACATCAATTTAGCATGTCAAAAATATCTATATAATATATGGATATCTGACTATATTATATTGTTTATTGTCTATTAGTATGCCATTTTAAAAATAGACATAATGGCCACAATTCTGCTGTTTAGTGTAGTAAATTTCATTAGAGTAGGTCCATTGAATGAATGGGATTTCCGGCAGCGGCGGTGGAGGGGATGAGGGGGTGGCTGGGGGAAAGCCAGGAGGCAGGGCAAGGCCCAGGTGTTCCGGCGGCCCTCCTCCCGGCGACGCGGCGGCGGCAGCGGCGGAGACGGGGGTGAGGGGTGCTTCAGAGAGAGCCGGGAGGAGGGCAAGGCTCGGGTGTTCTGGCAGCCTTCCTCCCGAGCCCTCACTCGCCCGCTGCCCAAGGACGCCTGGTGTCTCCCGGGCTGGCTAGCTGGCTGGTTGGCAGTATGGGATTTAATGAGTCAACCCCTCCGTAAGTTCCATTGAGTGAAATGGATCTATTCTAATTATGACTTACTATGCTAAAGTAAGTCATACATAGAGTAGGTCCTTTTGAATTGGATAGAATTTATGGAGGGGTTCACCCATCACATTCCCATTGATTCTGTGAGTCTACTCTAAGTGCAACTGATTACTGCACCAAGCAACACGATTTCAGCCTATGTCAGGGCTTCATCACATGTGCCAAAAGAACCCCATTCTGTTGTTACTTAAACCATTTTATAAATATTTGTTCATATGATGCATAAGTAAGGATAAAGGTTCCCCTTGACATTTAGTCCAGTCGCGTCCGACTCTAGGGGGCGGTGCTCATCCCCATTTCCAAGCCGTAAAGCCAGCGTTTGTCCGTAGACAGTTTCCGTGGTGACGTGGCCAGCGTGACTAGACATGGAACACCGTTACCTTCCCACCGTGGTGGGACCTATTTATCTACTCACATTTTTACATGCTTTCGAACTGCTAGATTGCCAGGAGCTGGGACAAGCAACGGGAGCTCACTCCATCATGTGGATTTGATCTTACGACTGCTGGTCTTCTGACTTTGCAGCACAGAGGCTTCTGCGGTTTAACCCGCAACACCACCACATGCCTCACATGATGTGCATAGATAAGATTAATTAATTTGGTCGACCAATTGAATTTTTTTTACCCCTCTCAGGGAGGGTTGTTTTAAAATGCTGTTCAAATGGGAAAAGAAAAATGAAAGTCAAGAACTGAGAGTGGGAGATAGTCAAGGAAATCAGGAAAAGGGGAAGAGTGAGTAAAGGAGGGAAGGGGAAAGGGTAGAACGAGAAAAGGAAAAATGGGAAGAAAAATGAAGAAAAGTGGAGAAAGGAATTGTGGAAAGGAAGGACTACAGGTGACATATACCACCAGGTTGCACATCAACCAACAGTCGGAAATGACAAGAAAATAGCAACATATTACTTACAAATTATTTAAAAAGGAAAAAAAGAAAAATTTTGGGCACCGGTGACCCCCAGAAACAATGGAAAATTAATCAATTAATATGAGATAGCATGAAGAGTTGACAGAACAAGTATAAATAGCAAGAAATGTACCAATTGAACTAACAGACATGTGATTGAGCCCAGGGGCATATATATACCACATGATTACACACAAAAATGTATCGATTCAAGAAGGAGATGAAAATAATCAGTATAATTAGGGTTCTTTTGGCACATATGATCAAGCCCTCAGTATTATAAATTCTCTTTAATCCTATTAATCCATTAATCCATTAAATAGCACCTAAAGGTACTTTTGAAAGGTTGCTTTAGCAGATATATACCATAAAATTCCATTGTTAAGTCTTTTTGAGCAATTTTAGCTAGTTGTGACTAGTTTCTACCTTATAAATTCTATTTTGCTGCATATTACTTAAAAGTCAAAAGGTGGCAGCCAACGTAATCAGCCACCTGATTATGCATTCTTCTTCCATTCCTTGATTCTTGCTGTATGAGTTTCACTACTTTTGAAAAGGATTACGTCAAGATAACCATTAGTGGGAGAGTAAACAGACTGATGTTTGAGATACTCCCCTAGATACAGGAGAACCTTTGTTTGATGTGTCATTTCTGTTGCCTGATAAGGAGGAAATTAATCAATGGTGGTGGAGCACACTGAGGGAAAGATATGAGGGACTGTTTGATCATGGATGACCACCTCGTAAGGAAGACACAGAACATGCTATGCCTTTCCTTCATCATTTTCCTAGGAGAGCTATCAGGTAAGAACACAGCTTTATGCACAAGATAACAGAGTTCAGTGGTTACTGGCTGTTCTCAGCAGCTCCAATTTCCTGGTAGTCTGAGTTTAGACATGGATCTGTATCCTTGCATGTTTTCAATTCTTAAAACAAGGGGAGTGCTCAAGATATTCACACTGTAACTGATCTCTGTTAACTGACCTTGAATCAGATGATATAGAATCTTGACAAAGAGATCCTAGCTAGCCCTCCAGGTACCTACAAGTTACTATCTGCCCACTCTCAATCAAGACAGTGACTTTCTGGTGCCCTGCTTAGGTCTCATAGCCCATAACTGCATCACTAATAATCTTCACACTAGTAATGTTCTTCCTATGAACATGGGATGTAAACTATGGGGGGCAATGGTGCCAGCAATGATGAGGATAGGCTGCTTGGGCTACAGAGTCAATATGTTCAACCATTTAAAAAGAAAAAGTGGTGCAGGGAGAAAGATAGACAGGAGAATACCTTATAAAAAGAAACTAATACCTCCCTTACCTGCAGCTGATAGAAAGACACCAAATGTACTTCTATTCAGAAAGTTTTGGGAATAACTGGCTGACATATTTGTCCTGACTATTTTGATACTCAGATTGATTGGATGGTTTTTGCTCTTTGTCTTTTATATTATTATTTTTATTGTTACTGTATTGTGTTAGCAGTAGTATATCATAGAGTACCCTGAGAGTCTATCTGGCTAGAAAAAAGCAGCAAACAAAACTGAAAATAGCTAGCTAGCTAGATTTGTGCTAACAAAAACAAAATGAGTCATATCTGATCAAACCGCAAATCAAAATTTATATCCTGCCTTTCCTGTGAAGCGCTCAAGGTGCACAGTTTTCTTCTCATAAAACCCAAGCGGGGATTTGGTGAGCCAGATCTCCATATATTGATTTAGTGGGCCTACTCCAGTGGTGACTTGCTACTGGATTTCAGTCATTGACTTCTGTCACGATCCCCATGTGGCCCCTGCCTGTTTCATCAAACTAAGAGCTCATGCTACCTGTCCTTCAGCTGCCACCAGTTGATTACATCAACATTGTGTAATATTAATAATAGAGGTCCACGCAAGGTATCATTTTAAAAAGAACGAAATACAAGTTGTTTATTGTTACAGATGAAGATACTTCAAGTAATGTTGTTAACTTTTAACAAACATCCTCCTTCATCCACTCTCAACCACCCCTCTCCCGCCCAAATTCCAAAACCCCCTCAACTTTTAATCTTCCAATTTCTCTAAACTCACCCTCCTCCTGCTGAGTCTCTTATACGTATCCCATGACTCCGCCACTCCAGCACCCCTATTGGTCTATGCAGATAGCATATGAATATTCATGACCTGGGCAGACACCCCAACCTCTTCTCATGAAACCCTGTAGGGTAGATTAGACTGAGATGCAGTGAGTGGCCAATGGTCATACAATGAATTTCATGCCCCTATGGGGGCTGGCTCCTAAGTCTCCCCAGTGTTAGCTCACTAGTCACTATACTGCCTCTTGTATTACGGGACAACCATATGGTCCAATCACAGACCAATGCTTATGGGGTATACCTAGTTGGGACTTGGTGTTGTGGTATGTGACATTAAAACACTGTAGCAGCAGTAAAAAAGACAGCTAGCATGTTGAAGAATAGGTGCTCCCTCAAATGGTGAATGTGTATGTCACCACATATGATTTAACTCAGTTTTGTTTCTTGCTTTGTTTAGTGGTTGTTCACTGAAACATAAACATGGGCTTAACTGCCAACACACATACATCTCAGAAAATCTTGCTGTTAGAAGGAGCACAGGTTAACTGGAGGACAAACACATTCTCTCTATCAGATTTGATATGTTATTTGAAGACAATATCTAAGAGCACGAAAGTCAATGTACCAGAAGAGAAAGGAAGCAAAGTTGTTTCTTTTTAATGAGAAGACAGCAGTAACACAAAGTGCCTTTTGTTGACCTGAAATCACACTTCTTAAGAGTGTATTTTTATTCTCTTACTCTCTGCAGGGGGAAGAACAGTGAGTTTTTCTGGCTTACCTGGTACTGGGAACGTTTCAGAAAATGCTCCACGTGGTACTGTGGTATATACTTTCACAGTCAATTTAACACCTAATATTTCAGTTCAGACAGACTATCCTACCATCATAAACTCAAACCCAATTACAAAAGCTTTCGCAATTAACTCTGATCCTTCACTTTTGTATAAGGTAAGTCTTTACTCAACCACATAAACTATGGGTTACTCAAATAGCTAGCAGGGGAATATATTGTTATGACATCAATAATATTTTTCCTCGTACAGTATTATAAAATATGGAAGTGAGAAGTACTCCCAATGTTTAGTTGAGTACTTGAAGAAAATCAAATCTATCATCTGTCTTAAAAGGTCACAGTGAAATATCTCCCTAAAGTTAATGATACTGCATTTGAATCTCTTATTTTAATTCTGCTTGTAGAAAGTGGGCATTATTTAAATAAATATGGAAAATAGGAGGAGCCACGAGCAGTGAGAACAGGGGAATTCTAGGGCTCTAGATTCCCCTGGGTCTACTCCGAGTCAGATGACCCCCCCGGAGAAGGAGGGGGCAAGTTCCACAGGAGAATGGACTTGTTAGCAAGTGGGAGCTTTGGAACCGCCAAATTTCAGATGGCAGTCTGGTTTTTGGGAGAGTTCCCTTCCTGCACGTAGTCTGTCTCGTGAAGTTGCCATGATCGGTGAGTTAGCTGCTCGGCAAAGGGGAGGAAATTTATTATCTGACTACAGAACAGAAATTAATCTACTCTGCTGATAAGCTACAGCAAGTAAAGATCAAATCTGCTATGTGAAACTGTTTGGAAGGAGACCTCAAGCGGCATAACTTTGGACGCCTTAACATTGGAGTTTTTTACTACGCCATAGCACGAAAACGAAACCAACTTATTCTCTTTCCTTTCTAACCCTCCCTCCCAGAGAACTGGCCTCCCATAAATCTGTAAAGTTAGGACTTAAGAACTTTAAATAATTCTGCAATGACTCTGTATCTGGCTACAATGTCTACGAAGTCCCCCCTCACAAGACTTTAAGAGCGGACTTGCCAATAAATCATGTGGAGATTTTGAGTAATTAATCTGTCAACTGGTATGGCCATGGAAGGTGGGGGTGAGTTATCGTCGCAACTGGCAATGCATTATTTCAAGGAACTCCTTCAAGAATGTCAAAGCCACATAATCGGACATTTGGGAATGCAACTTGAGGAGTTCAGAATGGAGCTGAAAGAAATCTTTTCTGCTATGCATGAAAAAATCAAGAGCAAGCGGGAATCCCAGATAATTAATGGACAGTCTTGAATCTTGGAGAAACAGCAATTGGTACGGTGTGAAGATAACCCAGAGTCAGAGAGAAAGAAGAAAAAGACTCCTTTTCTTCAAAGGATGACTTTAAAAAGACAAAAGGGGGGGCAGGAAAGGGAGAATGTATCTTAAGACTGTGTCGAAAAGAAAGAAGGTAAAGGAGGGATGGGCAAAGCTCAGGGCACATACTATCTTGCTCCAAAATCTAAACACTGACTACATTGGGATTAAATCAATTAACCGCATAGAAATTGCTTTAAAGAAATATTACAGATGGCATTTCAAAACTGGGAAATACTTTGTTGGTGAGGCATGTATATTGAGATATTAAATATATTTGATCATGAGGCCAATTCCGGTTGGATGACACTGGAGCTGATAAATAGAAACCAGAAAGGGGGAAGTTACTTGCTGAATAAATAATAGAAGTCATTTGTTTTAAGATAGATATAATTAATATGTAAAGCAATATGATCTATATACTATAAGCAAATTTGGCCAAACATGAAACCTAAGGTTAGATAAGTGTATGTGATTTATAGATTTTAGAAATGATGATGAATAACAAGATTGGATGTTTTGTTTTAAGGCATGTATATGGATATATCAAA